ATTTGTGATCAAAGCACTATTAAAGTAATTATTTAAAATGAAAAATATTTTATATATTTTCTTTATTATTTTCATTTTTTCTAATAAAATTCTGGTAAAAAACTTATATATATGTAAAAATAAAATATTACATGTATATTTTTAGTGGTACAAAAAATAATAATAAGTTAAAATAATATCTATTTATAAATATTTATGAAAACTAGAAAAAGCAAAAAAAATAAATATTATTTATTTTATAAATAAAAATTGAATTACTTTATTTCTTCTTCAACAAAAAAACGAAGTTATAAACTCAAAGAAGTATTTTTTTAAGAATAAGTAAAATATAATTTTTATTATTTGGTTAAGGTTTTTATAATATTACTTCATTATTCATAGCATTAAACTAAACATATTAGAGAGTTTTGCGTTTTTTCTAGACAGATTAACTAGGGAAGAGGTGATAGATTGCGTTAAAATATGAAGAAACGAACGCAAAAATTTAATCAGTTAACATAAACACTATTCTGCAAGTATTTAAGAGCAGTTAATGTCAAAAGTGGTAATCATTGTCAGTATGCCGCGTGTGGGCTGCCTCTTTGCCGTACTCATATTAATTTTTCAAGGGAGATGGGTGTATTCGTCGCAGTATACACAAGAATCTCATTGTCCAGGGGTATACACCGACCATGAAGAAATGTAAGCACCCATGCCTGCCTTATATATTGCTGACATATTGTAAACGTAAAACCCATAAGACCATAATATTAATGATCATAATTTAAAGTCAGAACTAGTAAATGTTTTTATTAATAATATATTTTTGATTATAATTAAGTATCTACTCAGTACAACTTTTAGCATCATACTTGATGTTATAACGTGCTTTACGAAAATGCATACATATTTTAAAGGGATTTAAAAGGGTGCAACTTGGATACTTTTCCACCGTTGGGAGCGAGATTACACACTTCTGTAACGTCCATGTAAGATTTCCAGTATATCTTTATTTTAAGTTAGTAAGAAGAAGCTATAGAATAAACGTAAATATTCTCAAGATAACATTTTTTTTTAATTTATGTGTTTTTTTAGCTGCAGTGTATTTTTTCTAATAATAAAAAAAGAATTGTAAGGGTATATTTACTTAGAACTATACATTGATAAGTTTTTTTATTAATATTATAATTATTACTGACTAATATTGTAAGAAATTTGGAAGATAACGCTCTCACCGTCATCACTAAAAAAAAGCTTGCTGGCCTTTCCAGCTTGACTTATTTGTAAGTTTGTAATTATGATGGTATTATGCAATTTTTATTATATAATAATATTCTGTTTACCAATGCTAATGGAATTAAATCGTATATTGTTCCCCGTACTTCTCAAAATCAATAGCCTAGAAGATAAATTATAGACCTTTTTGTAATACAATTAAAAGTCTTGATAAACGTGTTTAGTAACTCTTATATCCTATTGCAATGATATTAACATATTACTTGTAGAACTTTATGGAATAACAAAATAAAATCAATTGAAGACGATTCGTTTTCACATCTCATTGCCTTGACTGGACTGTAAGATTCTTATTCTTTATTAAAACGCTTGGAGTTATTCCATTAGCTAATTGATAAACTATAGAGGCATTATCTTGCTAATCTATTTCAACTACAGCCCTTATCGTTAGCTAGAATTTAATTTTTTTTGAGTTTTCATATTCCCTATATATATTGTTTATCACTAATATTTAAGGACTAAATGGATGTATTTTAAGCTTAATTATTACCATACTAATAATTAATTTGGCTTCTAATATTACTACTGACATAAATTTTAAGGGATTTAGGTCATAACATACTTTCCTCTATCAGCAAAAGAATGTTCTTTGGTCTCCGTAATTTGAATCATTTGTAAGGCCATAATTATGATCCAATCATAAAATATACTATTTTATAATAATATTCTGCTCACCCATGCTACCCTAATCAATCATAAAATGTTCGCAGCTTACTCTATAAATTATATAGTTACTTCCTTATAATATTATAAGAGTCATAATAATCGTGTTTAGTAACTCTTATATCCTATTGCAATGTTATTAACATATTAATTGTAGAACTTTATGGAATAACAATATAAAATCAATTGAAGACGATTCGTTTTCACATCTCATTGCCTTGACTGGACTGTAATATTCTTATTCTTTATTAAAACGCTTGGGGTTATTCCATTAGCTAATTGATAAACTATAGAGGCATTATCTTGCTAATCTATTTCAACTACAACTTTTTTCGTTAGCTAGACTTAATTTTTTTTGAGTTCTTCTGTTTGCCATATATATATATTTTTCATTAATATGAATGTACTAAATGGATGCATTTTAAGCTTAATTATTACCATACTTATTTTTAATTTTTCTTCTAATATTACTACTGACATAAAATACAAGGGATATAGGTTCTAACCAACTTACCTCCATCAGCAAAGGAATGTTTTCTGGCATTCATAATTTGACTTATTTGTAAGGCCCTAATTATGATCCTATCATAAAATATTTTATTATATAATATTCTATTCACTTATGTTATTCAAATAAAGCATAAATTGTTCATCGCTTACTAAAATTAAATAGTTACTTATAATATTATTGAGTCTTAATAATCGTGTTCGCTATATTTTAAATTTTATAACTATGTTATTAACTTATTAATTTAAGATCTTTATGGAATATTCAAATAAAATCAGTTGAAGACAATTTGTTTTCTCACCTCATCGCATTAAAGAAATTGTAAGATTCTTATTTTTTCTTAAAACGCTTGTTTAGATTATTCCATAAAATAATTGATAAATTTTAGAGGCATTACCTTGCTAACCTTTTTCAACTACAGCTTTTTTTGTTAGCTAGAATTTAATTTTTTCTGAGCTTTCATATTTCCTATATATATTGTTTATCACTAATATTTAAGGACTAAATGGATGTATTTTAAGCTTAATTATTACCATACTAATAATTAATTTGGCTTCTAATATTACTACTGACATAAATTTTAAGGAATTTAGGTGGTAACCTACTTACCTCTATCAGCAAAAAAATGTTCTCTGGCCTTCGTAATTTGACTCATTTGTAAGGCCATAATTATGATCCAATCATAAAATATACTATTTTATAATAATATTCTGCTCACCCATGCTACTCTAATCAATCATAAAATGTTCGCAGCTTACTCTATAAATTATATAGTTACTTCCTTATAATATTATAAGAGTCTTAATAAACGTGTTTAGTAATTCTTATATCCTATTGCAATGTTATTAACATATCACTTGTAGAAACTTAATCGGTAATAAAATAAAATCAATTGAAGACTATTCGTTTTCTCATCTCATTGCCTTGACTGAACTGTAAGATTCTTATTCTTTACTAAAACGTTTGGGGTTATTCCATAAGCTAAATGATAAATTTTAGAGGCATTACCTTGCTAATCTATTTCAACTTCAGCCCTTTTCATTAGCTAGAATTCAATTATTTCTGAGTTTTCATATTTCCTATTTATATTTTTTTGAGCTAATGTTAAATGACCAAAAAAATGGATTTTAATTAACATACTTATTATTAATTTTGCTTCTAATATTACTACTGACGTAAACTTTAAGGATTTTAAGTTCTAACCAGCTTACCTTCATCAGCAAAGAAATATTTTCTGGTCTCCGTAATTTGACTTCATTGTAAGGCCATAATTATGATCCTATCATAAAATATCTTAGTATATAACAATATTACTTTCACTTATGCTACTCGAAGCAATCATAAAATGTTCGCTGCTTACTCGATAAATTATATAGTTACTTCCTTATAATATTATAAAAGTCATAATTATCGTGTTTAGTAACTCTTATATCCTATTGCAATGTTATTAACATATTACTTGTAGAACTTTATGGAATAACAAAATAAAATCAGTTGAAGACGATTCGTTTTCACATCTCATTGCCTTGACTGGACTGTAAGATTCTTATTCTTTATTAAAACGTTTGGGAGTTATTCCATAAGCAAATTAATAAACTTTAAAGGCATTGCCTTGATACTCTATTTCAACTACAGCCTTTTTAGTTAGCTAGGATTCAATTATTTCTGAGTTTTCATATTTCCTATATATATTGTTTTGGACTAATGTAAAATGACCAAAAAAATGGATTTTAATTAACATAGTTATTATTAATTTTGCTTCTAATATTACTACTGACGTAAACTTTAAGGATTTTAAGTTCTAACCAGCTTACCTTCATCAGCAAAGAAATATTTTCTGGTCTCCGTAATTTGACTTCATTGTAAGGCCATAATTTTGATCCTATCATAAAATATCTTAGTATATAACAATATTTCTTTCACTTATGCTACTCGAAGCAATCATAAAATGTTTGCAGTTTACTCGATAAATTATATAGTTACTTCCTTATAATATTATAAGAGTCATAATAATCGTGTTTAGTAACTCTTATATCCTATTGCAATGTTATTAACATATTAATTGTAGAACTTTATTGAATAACAAAATAAAATCAATTGAAGACTATTCGTTTTCACATCTCATTGCCTTGACTGAACTGTAAGATTCTTATTCTTTACTAAAACGCTTGGGGTTATTCCATTAGCTAATTGATAAACTATAGAGGCATTATCTTGCTAATCTATTTCAACTACAACTTTTTTCGTTAGCTAGACTTAATTTTTTTTGAGTTCTTCTGTTTGCCATATATATATATTTTTCATTAATATGAATGTACTAAATGGATGCATTTTAAGCTTAATTATTACCATACTTATTTTTAATTTTTCTTCTAATATTACTACTGACATAAAATACAAGGGATATAGGTTCTAACCAACTTACCTCCATCAGCAAAGGAATGTTTTCTGGCATTCATAATTTGACTTATTTGTAAGGCCCTAATTATGATCCTATCATAAAATATTTTATTATATAATATTCTATTCACTTATGTTATTCAAATAAAGCATAAATTGTTCATCGCTTACTAAAATTAAATAGTTACTTATAATATTATTGAGTCTTAATAATCGTGTTCGCTATATTTTAAATTTTATAACTATGTTATTAACTTATTAATTTAAGATCTTTATGGAATATTCAAATAAAATCAGTTGAAGACAATTTGTTTTCTCACCTCATCGCATTAAAGAAATTGTAAGATTCTTATTTTTTCTTAAAACGCTTGTTTAGATTATTCCATAAAATAATTGATAAATTTTAGAGGCATTACCTTGCTAACCTTTTTCAACTACAGCTTTTTTTGTTAGCTAGAATTTAATTTTTTCTGAGCTTTCATATTTCCTATATATATTGTTTATCACTAATATTTAAGGACTAAATGGATGTATTTTAAGCTTAATTATTACCATACTAATAATTAATTTGGCTTCTAATATTACTACTGACATAAATTTTAAGGGATTTAGGTCATAACCTACTTACCTCTATCAGCAAAAGAATGTTCTTTGGTCTCCGTAATTTGAATCATTTGTAAGGCCATAATTATGATCCAATCATAAAATATACTATTTTATAATAATATTCTGCTCACCCATGCTACTCTAATCAATCATAAAATGTTCGCAGCTTACTCTATAAATTATATAGTTACTTCCTTATAATATTATAAGAGTCTTAATAATCGTGTTTAGTTATTCTTATATCCTATTGCAATGTTATTAACATATTAATTGTAGAACTTTATGGAATAACAATATAAAATCAATTGAAGACGATTCGTTTTCACATCTCATTGCCTTGACTGGACTGTAATATTCTTATTCTTTACTAAAACGCTTGGGGTTATTCCATTAGCTAATTGATAAACTATAGAGGCATTATCTTGCTAATCTATTTCAACTACAACTTTTTTCGTTAGCTAGACTTAATTTTTTTTGAGTTCTTCTGTTTGCCATATATATATATTTTTCATTAATATGAATGTACTAAATGGATGCATTTTAAGCTTAATTATTACCATACTTATTTTTAATTTTTCTTCTAATATTACTACTGACATAAAATACAAGGGATATAGGTTCTAACCAACTTACCTCCATCAGCAAAGGAATGTTTTCTGGCATTCATAATTTGACTTATTTGTAAGGCCCTAATTATGATCCTATCATAAAATATTTTATTATATAATATTCTATTCACTTATGTTATTCGAATAAAGCATAAATTGTTCATCGCTTACTAAAATTAAATAGTTACTTATAATATTATTG